AAAATATTATTTTAACTATAGAAAATAATAGTGCTAATAGAATTTTTAATTAAAAGTATATTTTCTTTTTATATAAAATTAATAAACAGGATTCTTTTATATTATTAATAATATATTTTTATAGTTAATTAAAATAGTAAAGTTAATATTACATTAATTATAGTTAATTTCGTTTATTATTTACTATATTTAATAAAAATTAATAGTTTTAATATTAAATATAGTTAATCTAGATTAGATATTTAATTTATAATTTAACTGTAATTAAATATAGAAATTCTATTAATTTAATTATAATCTAGTGGTTAGATATAACTGATCCTATTAGCCTAACCTAACCTAGCCAAATGCCACTCTAGAAATAATTATAAAAGAAAATACTTAACCCACAAGTATTAAGTAAATATCCCGTAAACAAGGCTTTTAACCCTCGCGTATTTATAAGAAATATATAGAGATTTAGTAATAATACTATAGAAAAATAACAACTACTAAGGATTATTACAAGGATATACCAGCCTTCTCTAATATCATACTATTTCACATAACCAATCCTTCTACTACCGTCGGCTCCACTTCATTCTATCCTTCTACAAATGCTCACCCCCTTGTGGACTAGAAATTTACTTGATTTCAAGATATGGACGTAAGATACCCTCTAGTTAAAGATAAAGAGAGAATTAATAAGGCATTCATCCTCCTTAAGAAGCTCTGCGCGGTTTAACTCCCCTAAGAAGTCATTCATATTGTCGCCCGCTCGCTCTAGATACCACAGACCAATCTTAATCATCTCATCGAAAGTTTTATCCTCAGTGCAGGAATCGTGTGCGTAGTTGATCATGTCTCTTCCATTCAACAGTAAGGCTGAACGGTAAATTTGCGAGTTCAGATCGCCTTTCTCCATCTTGCATTCGAGCCCTGCCCTCTGACAATAAGCCGAGCAGAAGCTATTGCAAAGCTGTCTGAGCAAGTCTCCCAGCGCCGGTTGCTGCCGCCGGGCACTGATAAGTCGACAATGCAGAATAGATAGGAACTCCGACACATCTCCATTCACACCCCTGCCATTACTTGTCGCAAATTCCCAATCGATAATAACTGGCTGCAGATCATGGTCCAGATCAGGGGTCAATGGCAGCAATATATTGCCAAAATTGAAGTCTCCGTGTACGAAACAGCCGGGGTACGTATATTGTGGGTTCTTGATATCCTCGACGAGTCGTTGATAGTACATCTCTCCTTTGGGAACATTGGCCAGGTATTCTGGTAATAGGTCCATTGCGAGATACCAGACGACGTCGGCTGTCAGTGACTGGGAGAGGACATCTGCAACGTCAGGGCGAGACTCAATTGCAACAGCAGTTTCTCGACTGTGCATCGTTGCAAGCGAACTTCCTAATATATTCCCAATTCGCAACACCATATTCTTTACCTTGGGTGACGTGTCTGACTGGGCCCAGATCTCAATACGTTCAAACAGATTCACAACCTTGCCCAGATCCTCCAGCAGAAGGATGGAGGCTTCATCGCTCTTATCGGTGATCAACAGGTCCGATTCTGCTCCTCGGTCGTATCGTATAAACCTTGGCAAGCGCCATGTATTTTGACTTGCCGTAGCTTTACCGAATAGCCCGTCCTCTCCCCAGAGGCTCATCACGGTAGCTTCTACTTCCTGAAGGAGGAGTAGCATGTATTAGCACAGGTGCAATATCTTCATATGGTGACGTCTTTACCTGGCGGTTTAAAGAAAACGGCTGCAGCTGGCCTTCATCCTCGAAGAATGGCGATGCACGCTTCAAGATGAGGGACTGTGGTCCCGCTTGTCCAGCCGTTTTAGTTGCGTGCAGAGTGGCGTTAATGGAACCATGTGGAATCCGTGCCACTTCCCAGTTAGTATTTTGATAAACAGACTGGAGATATCGAGCGTAGTTTGGCGTATCCATAATGGAAGATTCGTTGGTACTTGCAAACAGGATGTAATAGAAAAGATGTGTACTTGAAACCAAAGCCACAGGACTCACAGATTACACACCCAGATATTAGATTATCGGAGTATCATTTGATACTCGTTGGGATTTTATGAGCTTCACCCACCCTCACAGCGCATGTTCTGCCTGACGCAATATCACTCCACACCGATTTATGAGTCAGTATGACTGCTTCTGCTAGTTTTCAAAGTAGTCTCAAATAGGCAACTATATTCTTTCTCGTATCCATGGGCGGGTCAGACTTGGCGTGTGAGTCTATACCCTAGTACGTCGGGGATGTAGGGTGCATCCCGCATCCGGGCCCGCAGATTGGTCGAATTTTCGTGTTCTCCTGTGTTCCCGCTGCCAAAAGTGCGTGGCAATGTATCCACTATCGTTCCTCGTTTGTTATCTTTTATCGTCCAGCGATATACCTAGCTAGGCTTCGTTGGGGATCGATACTGTAAATTAATCAATTAATTAGAATATCTCTTCTCTTTTGTATCTCTTATCGTTCTTCTCGATCCCTTCCCGCGGAATTCTACTATTGATAGATATCTTATTTAATAAATCTCGCTGTGACAATAAATATAAGGAATCGACAGTAACTATCGATAGATCTAGGTAATTCTCGGTATTATATTATCTATGGGAGGTTCTTATCTAATATAATCGATATACTGTTATATATATATCTAGTAATATTATAGGTTGATTTTTAGAATATTATTCTCTGAGACACGGTGTGCCTGTTTCCCTAATCTTCTCTAGTCTTTCCCAGTCTTTCTTTTTCTTACAGAACTGTTTCCGACACTATATATATATATGTATATGAATCTGGAAGTATAGATCTCTTCTCGTACAATCCCACGTACTGTATCTGGATTTATACGTTGTGCCAGTATGCGGTCTGTCCGCGGTGTTTGAAGGGTTATCTCCATCGGTAATATGGCAAGCATCCCACTGCCGCAACTCCAGTGCTTTACTAGGTAGCTTTGATTACTATGCTCCAGCGACTATGGCTGGATCCGGCGTAAGAGTTCTGCGTGTTCCCTCCCTCCAGTAGCGCTCCTATACCAGGGCTCTTGGTCTTTCCAGGCCTCGGCTGCATTTACTACCCGTATGTCTATCGTGTACATAAGACCCTACGTAACCATCTCCTGCGCGTTTATCCCGAGACGACCTGGGTGGGCCGTGGGGGTCGACGATTGCTGAATAATCTCGAGTTGCTGGGACGCTTAATCTATTACCAGTGGTTTTTCCCCTTGGTGGCCGGTAGTATTTTCTTTGAAATCCAGTTCTCGGCGTAGGTCAAGCAGTTCCTTTAGAAACTTGTAGAGATAAGTCGCGTGGCGTTTATCTAGGCCTAGGCCAATCTCGACCTCGATTGCGATCTAGTCGCGGACTAGGTAGATAACTAGCAAATCTCCGCATAGGGCGACCCGACCGAGATCTCCCCTTGGCTAGAGCTGATATAGTGGTCGAAATATCTCCGTGATTATTTTTTTCTAGCTGTCGCGGTCCTGGTAGCTCTGTTTTATCTATCCCACGAGCTTCTACTGGTCTAGTTTAGCTAGAGTCTCACGCGGCTGATCGACCGCGAGTACCAAATTATCGAGGACCGCCGGGTGAATAAGTTTAACTAGATCCGGATTAATAGTTTCCTGTAGCGGCCCGGGGTCTGGGACCGCCCAATCCAGATCTATCTTAAGCCCTTTACCTATCAGCGCTACCGGTAGGTGTGGCAGCGCCTGATCTGCTTTACCTACCGAACCAGCTATCTTAACCAGCCGATTGTGCTCCACCACTAGCTGACAACGGCCCAGTTGGCTGCCCTCGATCGAATAGAGGCCTCTGCGTAGTGGCTCCTGCACGGGGACGGTTTCTCCCTGTCCACGATCCATGCCCAGCTGGACGAGGCGTGCCTAGCCTTCTTAATCGTCCTGCTCGATCATTCGCTGAAAGGGGATCTGTTCGAAAGTGCCTTGGTTGGTTTCCTGGCCGCCCTGGGTGTTAACGCGGTTAACCAGATCTTCTACGAATTGTATAGGTATACCGGTTATCTCTCGGGGCTGGTAAAGATGGCGCAGATGCTCGTCGTCGAGTAGGTGGTCTGGATGGCGGATGCCGGCGACGTGGCGTACCCTGTGGACGCCTTGGATAAGATACGGGAGTGCTTTCTCCTCTACAGGGTGTGGGCCCTCTTTGGCTGGATTACCCGCCTGTGGATGTATGGGAAAAAGGTGTAGAATACCACGACTAGCTAGGGCTATATTTACTGGAGTGAGGATAAGTAGACGCTGATATACAAGGAGCTGCAGTTAACTATGACGGGGTTTCGCCGCTTTATCCGGATGGAGATGGAGCTGGCCTAGGCTGACTTTGAGGAGCTCTTCCTTCTCCACGAGGAGGAAATCTAGAAGGACATTGTCCCTGTCCTCCAGCTGGCCCAGCTGCAGGACGATCCGACGAAGAATACGTAGGGCTGGAACTTCCTCTAGTATCCCCCTAACTGCGCGACGTTGGCGACCGGTGGGCCGCGGTGGTTGATAAACTGGGTCCTGACTAGCGACTGGCTCCGGGAGGAGTTTGTCGACGTGGAGGCCAGCGAGACCTAGGTGATTTGGTGTAGTACCGTGGTCTATCGCTACCTCTAGTAGGTAGACGGCTTCCTGGAGCGGCTGCTGCTGCTGATCTATATTACCGTGGGCTAGCCTAGGCGGGCCACGGAGCTGCTCAGCCTGCGTTATATTAACACTGTCTATAGCCACCACTAGAATATCTTTATCGAGAATGGCCTGGTCAATACGGTGACCGCGTATTACAAGGGTTACTCGGTGAGTAACTCGACCAAGATTATTCACCGCTATCTATCCAGGCCGGTCAGCGAGCTGGTTATGTACTACCTGTGGCTGGTGATATTGTTCACCCAGAACCTGGAACGGTAGCTGTACGGTTGGTAGGGGAAGCTGTCGCCCTTTCTCTGGCCCCGCAGGGAAGGTAGCTGGGACCCCGATTGGCTGCGGACGGTTCTGCAGTGGGAGGCCTAGAGCTAGCTGCAGACCAAGATAAACATCCTCTCGTACCGTTACGCGGTGATCGCTATCTCCTGGGTATACCTAAAGTGCGGTAGCTTCAAGCGCGACTACGGGACTGACCAGCCCGCGTTTAATGAGTAGGCCAGCCACGGATCCTGGACCGCGGGCACGGTGTACGCGCGAGGTCTACAGGAGGCTCCCGGTTATGTGAAGACGCGATGATAGTAGTATCGCGCCATCAGTCGCGAATGGTATGGCTTTCTTGGATTTAAGGCGTCGCTGGGCCCGCGAAAGCGACCGGCCGAGAAGACCACACGGCTAGTCAAGACCCGGTTAGTGAAACGGCCGTGTGTAGTTATAACCGTGGATCCTAATATTATCGCTGAGTACGCCGGGAAGTAGTCTAGGATAGGGATTTCTCTTGAAAGAAGGTAGAGTTACTATAATCCTTATATATATATCTCCATCTATCTATTAATTTTTATATAGACAATATGAATATTTTTTATTAATTATCTTTCTCGACTTTAACTCGCAGATAAGATATGGAGTGTTCCGGATACAATCTAGTATCTGCTAGTAAATCGATAAGGTTTAGCGATCCGCCCAGTGGCCCTATCTATTATATCTAAAGTATATCAATGTCCACCTGGTTTACTACTAGCTTTTTATTACTTTTCTTCCCGTTTTGTTACCTTCCTACCATTCTTTAACCGCTAGAACGACCCCAGGGCCCGTGATTCTAATCCAGAAGGGGTGGGAACTTATAGGTGCGTGTTCTGATAGTGGGGCTTCCCGCCCATAGTAAATTGATTAAGATTTTCTACCCGGCGATGTCTAGGTTTTTATACTTTAATCGAAGATTGTAATTACCCCCGTCGGGTAGAATTGCGTAAAATTTATTTAGATAGAAATATAGGATTTAAATTAACCTTAGTTTACTCCGAAGCCGGAAATTCGATGATTTGCGGTTATTAGAATCGATTAAAGTTGATTAGTTCGCGGTATGGTAGATTTAGTTGGGGTGGCCGTGGATTAATAGAATTCTCTAATTATTTAGAGTCCAGGCCACCGCGTTAGCTGTATATTATTAGAGAATTGATCTATTGTATAGTATTGTGCTTAGGGGTAAATAGATTACTATAGTAGATCTAATCTATCTATTTTGGTATATTCTATTATAGTTTACCTAGTTTTATAACTATTTAGTTAACTTTCCTGATTATAGAGTATCCTATCTTCTAGAAGCTTAACGGATTGCCTGTGATTATTTGTAAAATCTGTTAGTATAAAGTGTGGTCCCGCGAGATTGTCTGTTATTTAAAAGGTAGTGTGTATGGTAAGCCCTACTAAGAGGTGGTCTAGATCTAGGAGACTATCTAGCAGTGGGAGGACGTGGCGATAGGTCCCGAGGGGGTTATGGTTTTCTATTAAATTGACTAGGTATGGCCCGGCTTGCTTATATATTTTAATAGGCTGCTGTGTTGGTGGGATTTTCCCCGGTATTAATATATTGGGCGCAGTATATATAGTATATGTAATTACTGGTGGATGGTCTATAGCTGGACGCGGCAAGGATCGCGTGGATGGGTTATCCTGGCGGAGCGGATGTGGTAGGAGGCGGAGGTGTGATAATTATATATTGTGGTGCACTGCCAGTAGATCTTCCTATCCTATATTGGGTTCTACTATATCCACGTCCGTGGGGGTAAGACGGAGCCGTATATCCCCGTTTTAATTGAGTAGGTCGATGAGGCTATCGCGGCGGTGCGGTAGGTGGTAGATGAGATGTAGGCGTAGGCTCCGTCCAGTGCTGGTGAGGATATCCGCGATATTAATTTGTGGTTGCGGGTGATTTGGTGGATGTAGTATTTATAGGACTTTATTACGCTGGATAATTTTAATATATTGCGTGTATTGGTAGAGATCCTGTTGTTTGATAGTACTAATCCCGTGGAGCAGTGGGTCTGATAGATCTGGAAGGCGATGGAAAGAGTCGTCCGGAAAAGTTAATAGATTGTTTAATATACAGGTCAAGCGATCTACGTGGAGGCTGTTTGATTAGAGAAGAGATAGATACTGTACTGTCCATTGTAAATATATATAGATATAGATAGCGTAGTTAAATATGTATAGCTATAGTAGCAGATTGTGGTATTTATCACCCGTACGCAGATACCGTATATAAGGAAATATCCCGTGTATAGGATAACCCTGTGGTAGTGGAAAAAATAGCGGTGGCTGTGGTAGGCCACGGTGGATCCGATAGCTAGCCATCCGCCCGTTGACGAGGGGGTGGATGAGAATCTGGAGGACTCGGTAGATTCCATATAGCGGTGGTGGATGAGCGAGCTTGAGCAGATGTATTTGGTATTTTATATTAAGTTATTAAACTAGATATATTATATATAGAAGTATGAGAGTATACTGATTTATGCTATAGCTATATTAGATTATAGAGAATTTAATTAATATAATCTAGAGAGCTATTTCTCGATTTTATCGCGGGTGATTAAGGTAACGCGGTTTATAATTATCTAGCAGGCGCTGTAGCTAGATTTTAATATATTTTAAATTATTAAAATATAGTAGTAGCCGTAGAAATATGTTAAATAGACGTTGTGGAGTATTATTATTGATCTCGATTTTGTATATAATAGCGGTAACAAGTCTAATAATAAGTTTAAGTTAGTATAGTTAGGATCGATATTATTTTTAATATTTTTTATATATAATCTAAATCTCCTATTTTAAATAGAATAGAATTAAAATCTATTATAAAAGATATTCTAAAAGTAAATAATATATTTGGTTAGCTAATTGATAGTCTATAGAATATATATTTTAATAGAGATATTGTAGAATTGGTAGATATATAGGCTTTGGATTTATTATAATACTATAGTATTTAGTTATATAATATAGATATAGTTGGACCAACTGCTATACTAGTATATAAAATTTATTATAAATAATTTCCGTGGTTTTATATACGGGATGACAGTAGCTGTATAGTAGATTATAAACGCGGAGCTGCTATTTAAATAAATTTTAGCGATCCCGTGGTATATGCTATACAACGATCTTATATAGGGAGCTATAGGCTGGAGCTTTTTAAAGGATTTGTGGACGCGCTGGTTTATAGATAGATTTATTTAACTATTAGAACGGGTGCGGGTTGAGCTAGATATATAAAGATATTTTATTTACTACCGCGAGCCTACGCGATTTTAGTTTAAGTTAATTATTTAGTATTTGTAGTGGGTAGCTTGATTTAAGAAGAAATTAGCGATATTAATCTATATAATTAGAGATTAACTAAGTTAGATGCTAGAGCTGCTAAGCTTATAATATATTAATATTAAGATTAATTGGCGGTGTAATATATTTATCGAGGATAGGATGGTTATATTAGTATCCGCGTATTATAAAAGGTTTTACGCGAGTAATAATATTAAGGTAATCTATTGATATGTACTGTAGGAGGTAGACGAGCTGATTGTATGGTATTTGTGGCTAGTGTTGCTGTTTGTCCAGTAGCTGGAGACGTGGTACTCCTGGACGACCCAGCTATCTACCCCCGATTTCCTATCCGGGTTTCTATTTGGGTCTGGATCCCAATCTCTATTAGGGTCAATGTCGCCGTACCTGTGGGGTCTCGATCCCGGTACACAGTGGGCGTGGACGTCCAATTAACTGTGGGTGGTGTTGAAGCGCGAGACCAAGATACGGCTGTACTATTTTATTGGTATTTAGGTGTATCGCGACATCGCTATTAGGATTAGCTAGTAATAGATATAGTTAAGTAGCCAGTTTCCCAGCGATATCTATAAGGAGCGGGAGACGGCTCCAATAGCGTTGGACGTGGACGTTGAGAAGTATATAGATAAGGTACAGTGGCTAAGATATATTATAAATTTATAGGTGGTGTATTTGTTGCACGTGGTGGGTATAGTATATGGATAGGGGATTATAGAATAGATAGGGACTACGGCATACTGTCAGTGTATGTTTTAGCTATCTAATATCGACTGGTATCGATTTTTGGGATTCGCGTTGGTAGATGGGGGCTTTGATTTTGATTTTAACCTGTATAAGTGTAAATGGGTGCTGTGGGAGGAGGAGGTGGTTGAGAGCTAGATTATGCGGCGGCACCGGTTGAATACTATAGATATAATACAGGTGTTGCGGTAGATGATGGGCTAGGCGACGATACAGTTCCGTGGGGTGTAGGCGGTGGTATTGTAGGTAATCCAGGATAGTAAGAGCCTTGTGGTAGCGGTAATGCGAATGGGTGGGGGGAAGAGTATGCTGTTTATACTGCCCGTATTCGCGGAGCCCGGTGGGACGATGATTGTGGTGGTACCGCTGTTATCACTCCGCGGGGATATGATACGCCGGTGCCAGGTATTAGGCATCGTATGCGTGTTGTGGAAGAACCGGCGGCCCCTGGATAAGGCGACGATTGTACTAGTAACGCTGGAGTCTACGGTGATAGAGAATTTTTATATATTTATTAACCAACTGCAGCAGACGCGGTGGTTAGATTGGATTATTATCGACAAGTACTATATGGTACTGAATAATCAGCGAGATTTCTGGCCTAAATTACAGTAGCTAAGACGGTTGAACCACGTACAGACGCAGATGGTGCTGCTGATAGCCATATTACCTCCTACGTTAGAGTAGACATTATTGCAGCGAATAGAATATCCGACCGACCAGGTCTATATATTGCGGGATCGGACCAGCCGTCCTAACGTGGTATACCGCGTGTAGGATATTCCTAAAGGGTTAATATAGTTTACCAGCGCGCCCGTACTGGTATTTATCCGGGAGTAAATCCAGCGGGCGGGACGCGGGAAGGTAATTATTTATACGAATACCATTTAGTAGATAAAGGAATTAGCCTAGATATTATAGTATAAGGCGTATTACAGTCAGTAAATTGATAAGCTATTAATTTTACAGCGGTTTACGTAGGGTTAGACCCCGGTTATTACGGCCACGAGTGCATTGGGGATGGGAGTCGATATTCCCGATATCTAATATATTATCCATATTAGGATCCCGCGGATATTGTTAGATTACGCGTAGGAAAGCGGGTGTGCTGGACAGGACGGGTAGCCCAGCGAGACGATTATTGTCTACCCGGGTGGACCGGTGGAGGGGGACGAGCCGGTGCAGGATTATATAGACGTGGTTCCGGGGGTGGGATGCCGACGATATATATTAGATAGGTATTTGGATAGCCCAGTGGATAGATACAAGCGACGATATTGCTAGGATAAGGATGTGGAGGAGATATAGTGTAATAGATATAATCCCGATTAGCAGTTACCATCCCGTTCTAGTCATTCCGATTATATAGACTATTCCGCTCATTCAAACCGTGCAGGCTATTTGGATTATTGTGGTCCCCGTAAAAATCCCCACGATATAGTGATTGTATCCCCGGCCTTGTTAATCTCTATAGCCGAACGGCAGCGGCAGCGGGTGCAAGGCCAATGTCAGGTAGCCCCCGATATGCAGCAGCGGATGCAGAACACCGACCAGTGACTAGATAAGAAGCTGGTAGAGCGGGATGCCCCCCAGTAGCAGCAGATATATTATATTTACACGCTGCAGGGCCACGCGTAGAATGAGCACGATTTATATTCATATCGGGGTCCGGCGAGCCAGGCGGCGCGGGCGTAGATGCTGCGGATGTGGTCCTTCAAGGTCCGGTACGACCCGTACTACGCGTACTGGGGATACGGGATGCCGCAGAGTATATATTCCTAGTGGAAAACGGGGGACTAGGAGCAGTGTGCGTATCGCGATGTGATGATCCCGATAATAATAGCGATACTATATAGATTATAGGCGTCGCCGGTGTAGCTATTGTAGACATAGCGGCTATAGGGATTTGGAATGGATTGGCAAAATATAGCGCAGGTAAAGGGATTTTTTGAATAGATAATAGCCAGGGTTAAGGGCTAGTACAGTTAATTATTCGCGTCGTTTTATTGGCTGCGGTGGATATATATTAAGCTCGAGTGGCACCAGCGGGATTAGTGTTTCGAGGTTGTATATCCACAGTATAGATATATAGAATTAATATATATAATATATAAATTAATATAAAAAAATATATTCCATTGATCGATATATTACAATATATTTATTAAATTTTATATTATCGAGATAATAATTGTCGATATTGATTCAGGGTCAATCAATTTAGTATAGCCAGGGCCAAGGGCCCGTATAATAGATTATTAGAATTGATATAGTAGTTATAGATAATATATATTCAAGTTTAACCAGGATCGACATAGTCGATACCAAGAACTAGATATATTTTTATTAGGTCCATGTTAATATATATATATTTAGGTATAAGATTAACTATCGTTATTAATTATAATAATATATAATCCAGAAGTATCAATAAACCGAAGCTATTTATATATCGAGCCAGTCAAGTCTAATCCAGTAAATATAATCTAGATAAAGCGAAACCGACTAGTAGATCCGATTTAAATATAGTGGTCCCGTTTTATTAAGCCCAATATATAATTGCGATTAAATCAATACCCAGATTAAAGTCCCAATAATTTAACTGAATTTAAGATAATATATATACCGTGTCCACCAATATCAATTCAATCCATTTCTATTACTAGGTATTAACTGGATTAAGAATTATATATAATTTATATATAAAAAGATTAGAATTTAATACCGTCCAACGCAACGAATTGAATCGAGAAACCAAATTAAAGCGATTTATTAAATCAGATTACCAAAATAAGTCAGATTTAGATAAACTGGACCAATATAACCAAATATATAAATAAGATTTAATCAATAGAATTAATTAATCAAGATTAGATATATATTTCAGCGAGTAAAAAAGATTAAGAAATTAAATCAATATCAATCCAAAGAGATAGAAATTAATTTAATTAATATTATATATAAGCCGATAAGGATAATTAGTATAGAAAGATAAAGATAATTAAAATAGAAAGATAAGGGTTTATAATATTAAAAGATAAGGATTTATAATATAAAAATATCAGGGTTCGTAATATCAAAACATAAGGATTTATAATATTGAAATAGAAAGATTCGGGATATTAAAACATGAGGGTTTATAATATTAAAATATAAGGATTTATGATATTAAAACAGAAAAGATAATAATATAAAAATATAAGGATTTATAATATTTAAAGAAAAGGATTTATAATATTAAAACAGTAGAGTTTATAATAATCCATATCAGGGTTAATAATATAAAAATATTAGAATAATTAATATAAAATAAGCAGGGTAATTAATATTAAGATTAGAGAAGAAGTTCTCGAGTACAGTTTAATAGAGACAAGATTTATATTTATAGATTTCCAATTATTCCATAGTTCAATATTAATTTATAAAAAGGAGTCAACCCGTAGATAGATTGTCAATAGTATTTTATAATATCGGAGACGTTTCGATTATATTCCAGCTAGTTATCAATTTCCAATATTAATTATTAATTGATTTTTACAATATAAGAGAAGCCGATTATACCAAGAAAAGTATAGAGATTTATATAATTATTCCGATCTGATAACAGCTAAAAAAATACATTAGGGTTTTAGATTTCGAGATATTTAACATATAAATTATTTATCCAGACAACAATACCGAAGATTTCTAGTCCAGAAGGGGTGAAAAAAGATAGTGTATTCGGTTTGGGGTGCGGCCCGTTTGGCGGGCAGGCCGGGTTAGGGTCAACGTGCATTCGTTTTAAATTCCCTACGTGGACTTGTAATTCCCCCCCGGGTCCGATTAGGCTCAGAATTGGTCCGATTACTTAGATATCTCCTAAGTATCCACTGTCCAGTTTGCAATATATTAATCGCTTGGAAAAATATGTTATTGTCAGTATAAGTTTTGTTAGAATATTGCGTTAGGGTTAGCTACTACTGGCAGAATTCCCGACCGCTCCGCTTTACCGCCCTGACTATACCGCGGTGCTCAGGGGTACTCGCTGTATACTGCCAAACTTATAGAATCCTATAATTTCACAGTATGGACCATCCCATTTTTCAAAAGCTCGATGGACTGCCCATTATCATTTGTAAAGTATGCCAACATGGGGTATGGCCCAGCGAGATCGTCCGCCATTTAACCGGCCGGACCTATCGAAAGCCCCACACCGAGGCGGTTCAGATTCAGAAAGTCATCCAGTAATGGGAGGGTATCGTTCCGCAGATCGATGAGACTGTGATTCCCCACGGGGTGGAGCAGGCGTTGGCTGGATTACCCATCCACCCCGATGGGCTGATGTGTCGCCGTGACTATCCCCGATGCCAATATATTGGTCGGATAATGGAGGGTATGCGGTAGTATTGGCGCCAGATCCATGGCTGGTCCTAAAACCCCTGCTGTGGGTGGGTGAGCTGGGCGCAGCGGATGTAGGGCGAGGCCGAGCTGTGGTAGTTATATATCTTGGTCCACTGTCAGTAGATCTTCCCGACGCGTAAAGGGTCCTATTATATCCACGTCTGTGGGGGCGAGACGGAGCCGTATATCCCTATGCCAACTGAGTAGGTAAACGAGGTAATTGCGGCGGTGCGGTAGGTAGTTAACAAGGCCTAGGCCTAGGCGTAGGCCCAGACCCTATCTAGCAGTGGAGAGGATATCCACGACGCTAATCTATAGCTACGGATGACCCGCTAGATATAGTATCTACAGGATTTTACTACGCCGGACGATTTTAAAACGTTGCGTGCGTTGGTGGAGATTCTGTTGTCTGATAGTATTAATTTTGTGGAGCAGCGGATCTGACAGATTTGGGAGGTGATAGAGAGGGTCGTTTAGAAGAGTCAATAGACTATTTAATATATAGGTTAAGTGATCCGCGTGGAGGCTATTTAATTAAAGATAGAATAAATCTTATACTGTCCATTGCAGGTGTATATAGATATAGACAGTATAGTTAAATATATATAGCTATAGTAGTAGATTGTGGTATTTATCGCGTGCACGTAGATACCGTATATAGAGAAATATCCTATGTATGGGATAACTCTATGGTAACGGAAGAAATGGCGGCAGCTATAGCAGGCCACGCTGGATCTGGTGGCCCGCCGTCTATCTATAGACGAGGGGGTCCAAGTGGACGAGGATGCTGGGGAGGACCTGGAGGACTCGGTAGATTCTATATAGTGGTGGTGGATGAGTGAGCTTAAATAAGTGTGTTTGGTGTTTTGTATTAAGCTACTAAACTAGATATACTATATGTAGGAGTATAAGAGTGTGCTGATCTGCGCTATGGTGGTGCTAGGTTATAGAAAGTTTAGTTAATATAATCTAGAAAGTTATCTTTTAATTTTATCGCGGGTGATTAAGGTAATACGGTTTATAATTATCTAGTAGATACTATAGCTAGATTTTAATATATTTTAAATTATTGAAATATAGTAGTAATCGTAGAAATATATTAAATAGATATTATAGAGTGTTATTATCAATCTTAATTTCGTGTATAGTAGCGGCGACGAGCTTAATAATAAGTTTAAGTTAGTACAGTTAAGGTTAATATTATTTTTAATATTTTTTATATATAGTTTGGATTT